CCCTTCGTTGTTTGAAAGCCGGGGCTTGGAAACGGACAGTTTTCTTTGACGTCCTGCCGCTTCTTGTGATCGTCTCTTCTGGAGCTGGAGTGCCCGTCGTAGAGTTCTTCGGGGCTGGTGTAACCGGTGTGGCTTTAGGTTCGTCCTGGTCAGCCAACATGTACGCCGGTTTGATTCTGTCTACTGTTACGTGGACGGTCTTTCCGTTAATCCGTAACTTGTAGTATTTGTCCGTTCTGCTGAGGACTTCATACGGGCCGTCGTAGCTTGGTTGCAGGGACGCTTTTGGTGCGTCGTGCCTGAGGAACACGTGCGTTGAATTTGGCAGGTCCTTATGTTCGAAGACGGCCGGTGTACCATGCCTTTTTACTGGCTGTGGTCGTAGGTCTCTCATGGCTTTCTTCAGCTGCAGTATGAAGTCGCTCAAGCTGCTGGTCTCCTGTGGAGTTTCCTGTAAAAATTCACCAGGTAGTCTTAATGTCTCACCGTATACGAGTTCTGCTGGTGTTGCTTGGAGATCTGTCTTATATACTGCTCGGATCCCCATCATGATCACTGGGAGCACTTCTGTCCATGCCTCCGTTGCGTGGCACTTGATTGCAGTCTTCATCTGCCGGTGTAAGCGCTCGACCATTCCATTGGCTGCTGAATGATAGGCTGTGGTATGTACATGCACCGTGCCTGTTATTTTATTTAACTGACGGAACAGGTCGGCTTTAAATTGCCTACCCTGGTCCGTAGTGATGCGTGTGGGTGTGCCGAACCTCGAGATCCAGTGTGTGAAGAGGTTGTGGGCAACTGTCTCTGCGGATATATCAGCCACGGGAATGGCTTCAGGCCATCTTGTGAATCTGTCGATTGCTGTGAGGCAGTATCTGTATCCTCGAGACAATGGTAGTGGTCCTACCAAGTCTATATGTATGTGTTGAAAACGCCTTGTGGGGCCGACGAATTGTCCTATAGGCGAATGCGTGTGTTTGTGGACTTTCGATTTTTGGCAGGCGAGACAGGCTCTCGCCCATTCGTGACAGTCTGTCTTGATTCGTGGCCAGACGTAACGCTGCGATATTAATTTCGCTGTTGTTTTGGTCCCTGGATGCGACAGACCGTGTAGAGATTGGAACACTTGTCTTCGAAGCTGTTTAGTGACAAATAGTCGTGCCACCGGTGTCGAAGTGTCGCAGTACAGCGTGGAGCTGGTTCCGGGAATTGGTATTTTCTGGAGTCTGAGTGAAGAAGTTTCCTTCAGGAAGTCCTGTAACTCGGTGTCTTCTTCTTGTGCTTTAGCCAAGTCCTCCAGATTCACTGCGGTCTGAATTCTCTCGATACGAGAGAGAGCGTCTGCGACCGTATTATCCTTGCCGGCGATATGACGGATATCGGTCGTGAATTGACCAATGTATTGTAGGTGCCGGGCTTGTCTGGGAGAGCTGTGAAGGAGATCCTGGTTGAAAGCGTATGTGATCGGCTTGTGATCTGTAAATACGATAAAGAATCTTCCTTCCAGCATATGACGAAAGTGTTTAATCGCCATATATATTGCCAGCAGCTCCCTGTCGTACGGGCTATACTTTCGTTGAGCCGGATTGAGCTTTTTGCTGAAGAAGGCTAGTGGTTGCCAATCTTCTCCGACTCGTTGTTGAATTACTGCTCCTATGGCGGTGTCAGATGCATCCGTCGTAAGTGTGACTTCTGCATCTTGCTTAGGGTGCGCCAGCAGAGTAGCCCTTGAGAGACTGCTTTTGCATTTTTCGAAGGCCTCGTCTAGTTCTGTGGTCCAAGTAATGGGAGCCTTCTTTTTAGTTTTGGGCCCGCTGAGTAGACCGTTTAATATGGTTTGGTCCTGTGCGGCCTCGGGAATAAATCTCCGGTAGAGGTTCAATGTGCCCAGGAACTGTCGCATCTGTTGGACGTTCTCCGGCCTGGGAAATTGTTTGATCGCCTCGACTCTATCTGCGGGAGGTCGTGTGCCTTCAGCGGAGACCTCGTATCCCAGGAACAGAACCTTGTCGGCTCCGAAAACACACTTAGCCGGGCTCAGTACTATGCCGTTCTCTTCTAAGCGTTTAAAAAGTGTACGCAGGTGCTTTTTGTGTTCTTCTTCGTTGCTAGATGCGACTAAGATGTCGTCAATGTATGCATAGCAAAATTCCAGGTCGCTTATAATCTCGTTGATGAAGCGCTGGAACGTTTGTGCTGCGTTGCGAAGTCCGAACGGCATAAAGAGGAATTCAAAGAGTCCGAAAGGCGTAGTTATCGCCGTCTTCGGAACGTCTTCGGGGTGTACGGGGATCTGATTGTACGCTCGTACAAGATCCAGTGTCGAGAAGATTCTGTTGCCGTGTAGGCGTTGCGAGAAATCCTCTATATGTGGTATGGGGTAGCGGTCGGGGACGGTCCTCGCGTTTAGTCTCCGGTAGTCTCCACAGGGCCGCCATGTATCCCCTTTTTTCGGCACCATGTGTAGTGGCGTCGCCCAGGGGCTCTTCGATACACGTATGACCCCCTCTTGGAGCAAGAGGTCGAACTCCGCCTTGGCTGCCTTGAGTTTGTCGGGGGCGAGTCTTCGTGGACGACAGGCTTCAGGTGGGCCGTCCGTCGTCTTAATGTGATGCCTGGTAGCGTGTTTCGCTTTTCGCGTCCCAGCAGTAGCCCGCGTAATCCCGGGAAATTCTGCCAAGATACGATGGTAGTCGTTTTCTATTGCCAGCACCTTGATGGATTGCGTGACTCCTTTTTCTGCCGTGCCTTTTGTGCGTAGCTCCGTTTTTCCGTCTAGGAGAAGGCCTCGCTGTAGATCGGGTAACAGGTGATAGTGTGCCAGGAAGTCAGCTCCGATGATGGGTACTGTGACGTTGGCGACGATAAAGCGCCAAGGGAAAGCACGTCGTAACCCGAGCTCCGGCTGCAATGTAAGCCAGCCGTATGTGTTTATCGTAGAGCCGTTTGCAGCGAAAAGTTCATAGGTGGAAGACGCCGTGTAGCCTGCTGTCATTGAGCGTGGATATACACTGACGTCGGACCCTGTATCGACTAGAAATCGCTTCTTGGTATCCCGACACGTTATGAAAAGGCGGCGTTGTGAAGGGGCGAGTCGGCTTGCCGCCGCTAGTGACTCCCCTTTTCGTTTTCCGATTTGTAGGTGCATGGCTGAGTGCATTTCTTAGCTTTCTCGCCGAATCTGTTGTGATAATAACAGTGCTTCTCATTGTCTGTGCTCTTTGTCGGCTTCTGGCTGCGACTTCGGCTCCGTTTTCTTTCGGATTTCTTATCCCGTTTCTTGTCTCGGGAAAGATGCGTGGTGAGAGAAGCAACTTGTTTTGTTAAAGCCTCTACTCTTGCTTCGAGAGAGGTTGCCGCAGGTGCGGACGTAGAAGCTACCACTGCCTTGTTGGTCATCTCGTGGATGCGATCGGCTTGCACTGCTACATCGTTAAGACAGTCGTCGGTCCTGGTGGCTAGAATCATCTGAGCCTGTTGTGGAAGTCTTCCCAGCCAGAGCGTGCGTAAAAGAGAATCTGGAACATTATTTCCGGCCAGGGTACGGAGATGTCGCAAAAATTGTGATGGTTTGCGATCTCCTAACTCCTCTAGCTCTAAGAGCTGTAGTGTGCGCTGTTCTTGGGAGACAGACATTCGCTGTATGAGCGCTTGCTTCACCGATTCATATTTCTCGGCCGCGGGAGGCTGAGTGATTACGTCTTTAATCTCTTTGATTTGATTTGAATTTAATTGCGATAGAGCGTATGAATATTTAGTGGAATCTTGGGTAATTCCGCTAATCGTAAATTGGCCCTCTAATTGTGCGAACCATAGTTCCGGTTCGTCGTTCCAGAAGGGGGGTACGCGAACAGCGACTTTGTGTACGAGGCTTTCAGCCGTAACTTGTACTCCACCGTCTTGCGGCATTTTTCAACCTTGCGATCACGTCGGGGTCACCAATTTATGGGGCTTATTTCGCTTACTCTATTTTTGGAACGCCCAAGGAAGTGGATCGCAAGGGAGGAAATTAACTTTTCGACTCTTTCTTTTTTGTTAATTATAATGATTAGTATATCATTTTATTGCGGAG